AAACAAGTAAAAAAACGTAGCAACTAGACCATTCATCTTAGAAACAAACTCGGTCCTTCATAAATCAGAAATAAACATAGCAGTCAACTTTTATCTTGAAGTAACCGCAAAATCGACCTTAAGTAACCGCAAAATCAGCCTTAAGTAACCCTCTTGTATAGGAGAAAGTGCAGATTATATCCTTGACATAGTCCTCCACTAACATGCGCTCTTTGCTGGCCGAAGTAGATGCTACCGGTCTACTCAGGCGTTGCACCTGGTCCTGTAGGCGCAGTCTCTCAACGCAGTCGCGGCTTATGAAATTTCGCGTGGAGCCGATGTCTATGAAGCCACCGCACTTGCGGTCACCTACACCAACTTGCACAACGAAGTGCTCCCCTCTAGGACCTCGACTTAGTGCCACCCAGGACTCATGAGGGTCCCTTGCCGACCACTCACTTCGTAGGTCCTCTAAAGCCTCAGACAAATCCAACGACTAGAGTATCGTTGGGTCAGGATGCGTCTGCGGGGTGACCAAGGAGTTCATAGCTTCTCTTGAAACAGGGAGGGTACATCACCCGCTTTAACGAGAGTAGAAGTAGCTACAACTTTTACTGGCCCTAGGTGTTTCCCGAGCTAGAGCTCGTAGAGGCCCCGCCTTGGGAGAAGGGAATCCCACCCTTAGGTGGTATCTTATGGGGGACCTTCACGTTCTTGCATTTAAACTGTTGATGGTCATACTCGTCGCAGTTAATGCAAGCACCCTGCAAATAATGCTTTGTGTCGTCCACAAGGTCTGAGAAATCCTCAATCTCGGTCTGAGTACCCTCGGCCTCGACCAACATCAATCGACTCCTCTTCTTCTTCCATTCTTGTGGACTCTTCTTCTTTCTTCCATCCGTAGAGGGGTTCTAAGCACCTCCTAGTGTAACCTCTAAATCTAAGGCCTTTTTGCTAAGGGTCTCAAACGTGTGATACTCTAACTGAGCGTTGTTGGCTAGCAAGTTCTTGATGTTTGTGGGAAGACACCTCAAAAACATGGTCAACAAGACCTGTGGATTGTATTGTACCCCAGGGACGACAATCAAACGCTCTACGGTAGAGATGAGTTCACGCACGGACTCCTACTTTTTAGCATCAAGTTTCAGCAACCCATCAGTGGCAATTTGTGTGTGTTGTGGGTTGTCCCATCGTGCTTCCACCAAGTCCATAAAGCGCTCCAGGGTATGGGTCTTAGCCCAGTCACCCATGTTCCTGTTGAATCCCTTCGATACTACTAACCCGCCTAGCCAACGAGCTGCTGAATCCTCTAAGTAGGATGCAACAGTTATCGCTTCCTCCTCTACCAACGTCCTCTTCGCCCTCACCCACACTGACACTGTTCTCAACCAAATGTCGAGAGCCTCTTATCTCCTGAGAAGGTTGGGGGTGGTTTCAATGGGGTCTTGGGGTACCAAGGTTGTTGTTGTCCCGCTGGTGGGACAGGTGGCAGCTGTGGTGTAGCTCCAGCTGCTGGACAAGAAGATGAAGAAGCAGCAGTCTGTGTTGTTGTTGCTGAAGTACCGCTTGGTGTGGTACCAGACTGAGGCAGATGCGGGCCTGTCGTCGCCAAGAATGGCAGCGATGGCAAAACTGTTGGCCTGACTCCTGGCCTGTGCATGGCATTCAAGATCTGGTCCAGGGTGTCCTGGATAGCGTCCAATTTGTTGTCCATGTATGCGTGCATGGACAGGATGCTCGCCTTGAGAATCCTTGCGGTGTCGTCAAGCGTCGAGTCATCTAACCCTTCTAAGCAGCTTTGTCTGCCGCCCTACCCTCAAGTCTGACACTTCTATTTCTAATTTCATTCTCTTTCAGTAGATTTTTTAAGTTCCTCCTCTAGCCTTAAGCGGATCCTCTCTACTTGCTGGAGCTCCATCCGCTCCTTGGTGCATGGAGTCGGCGAGCTGGACTGCACGCCCGCCATCTGACTGGTTCCGTATCCTGTAGTACTGGAGATGGACTATCCGGTTGTGTCCGGCATTCCAAACGAAAAACCAGACGAGGTTGCCACAAACGATGCCACAGATGTAGTCATTGCTACTGCGCTAGCCGCTGCTGTTGCAAACGTTCTTTCTACAGTTGTTGCAACTTCCCTCACAGTCTCAAGATTACAGACCCTTGCTTCGGGCGTTAGCCTTCTCTCGTCTCACGGTAGCAGGACCTGAAACACTACAAGCATATTACGCCTAGTTTGCCTTCTATCATCAGTTGTATCTTCACCACCCTCCGATCCACTCATTGGCTAGGCAAACGTTGTCTGCACTAGTATCCACTATGGAAACTACCGCAGCATGTGTCTGACCGGTTCTAAAAATAGTAAAATTAAAATAAATATCCAGCGAGTTACCTAGACTGCCGTTCAAGCGGTTTCAACAACATTTACATAGGCTGTACACATAGTCTAAACTTACCTTGATTAGTTCACTTACAAAGGCTTAAAAAAAAAGAACTGACTACGGTAGAACATTACAGTTCTAATCTAGGTTGTCTGTGAGGTGTTAGCAGTCTGTCAACCAACTAATCAAAATAAAAATAGACTCAGTGAGCAGATGTATGCACAATGGGTATTGTTGTGTTTGACAGCTGAGTCTCAATTGGAAAATTCCTCCCCTGTATCCAACGTGCCTGTAGCCATCATAAAGCGGCAGTGTCTAAGGTGTGCATTAGTGGCCCACCCCTGTGCCCAAGGCGTATGCTTATGACCAGAACTGTGCGTTGTTTACCCCCGAGTGCAACAAGCCTTACATCTGACTGATCTGGCTGATCAAGAGGCAGTTTAAGGACAACCCCCACGGTCCTCAAGAATTATTTAATGTCGCAATCAGGATGACGATCACAACCCGTGGACAGTTCAGACCCCCACCAGAAATATTTATAGATGGTCTGGATAGCGTCTGCAAAGGACTGGTCAGTCCGCACACCCCTTCTATCAGCGCAGCAAAGAGCCTTCAAAGGACAAAGCAGCATGGCCTGTGTGTACTACTCCCGTGGGTTGGCATGGTGACCGTGACCCGTGCTTCGACCAGGGCCCTTCAGAGGCACCGCCCTCTCCTGCCAGATGCGCCACCGGGAAGAATGTTGTCTCTCAAGGTAGAGCGCTCACAACTCCTCACACAAAAGAGAGGACACTCAAGGTTGGACTCACTTCCTCACGGTAAGAAGAGATTGAGAGGGTAGATAAGGTAAGGGAACAACGTACCAGGAGACAGCTGCCCCCAACCAAAGATTTCTCACCAATTGAGCTGATGTGCATTTCGATGACTGGTTTTCGGTACCACCCACAACGCAATGCAGTGCCACCTCTGCCAAAATGCCACATCAGCATGCTCTCATCATCATACATACATCCACTGTCGCCACAGCCTTCCAGCGGCCGGCCCCTCTACCTGGGCCCCGTTATATCAAGCCAGTGCCAAAGTATCCTTACTGCACAGAAGCATCGTCAGTGCACCAAGTAACAATGTCGCCAGCGCCAGGTAAGTGGCGATCTCGAACCAGGTCCGATACCAAATTGCAAGGAATATGAGTGGGAACGATATACAGAAAGCCAAATTGCTAAATCACACAGATGTCCAAGTAGCCGTGTACAAGCAGAGAGCACAAATGCACCGAGATTTCATCCAAAGGAGAGCAATACAATGAAGTCACGAGCCAATGTTCAAGCCCTCAGGCCACACCAACACAGTATCCAATGTCGCTCCTCTCTGTCTGGCGCCCGGCGCCCAGCCTACACTACTCACCTATCCTACCTACATCAGCATTCACGCAACAGGCTCACTTTGACTCTTCAAGACCAATGTGCATGACGTCAACACCATAGCCGACGTCTCTCATGTACCAGGTATGTATCTCGTCTCCCCTCATTCCACCCTGACCACCCACACTCGCCTCGTTCCTGAAGACCACCAATTCCCCTCTTACCCCCTAGCGCCCTGCAGCCCGGCTATGGCTGCGAGCGCTCCGCTGCCCAGCAGCGCCCCCTCTTCACCTCACAAGCGCCCGCACGCACCCTGGCTGCTAATGCAGCATGCAGCCTCTCCCGCAGCAACACAGCAGTGTGACCGCATTGCCTGTGTGGCCCAGAATGCCAGACCCTGGCTGCCCTCCTTCCTATATGGAAGTGGCAGCCTCTGCTTGGCTGTGTGTGGCCTGGCTGGGAAGCTTCCAGTAGCTTCCGGTCGGGCCCCAGTACCTGCGCCCAGGCCCAGTGCTACAGTTGAGGGCCTGGGTCCTTTACAGTTGGACATGGCCTGAGTCTCCAGACTTGGGCCGTTTGCTGCATTTGCGCAGGACCCGGGGTATGTACGTCAACAGTGCTGCTTTTGCGTAGGCCTGTTGCCACTTCGTGATGTATCGGTCCTGCATTGTGTGTATGTGCCCAGGCGCAATTGCCACGGCCTGGGCCAAACTGTACGACGCAGCTTAGGGAGGCTCACGGGTCCGCTCAACCAACTGGCGGGCTGTAACAGCCTGAGTACCCACATATGAAAAATGTCGAATTTTGGCCTCTAGTGAATATTCAGGCCCGCCTTCACTTAGGGCGGGCACTTGGCTTGCTGGGGCCTCTGCCCAGAGCATGTGCATATCTGATAAGGGCCCCGTGAGGGCTCATTCCTTGCATTTTGATTCTATCATCGTAAGAAGAGATTCGCAAAGACCAATACACGACAGCATAAATAGTTCCTAGAATGTCATAGATGTTTGGTTTGTAAATTCGTGTGTGTGCACAACTTTGTAAGCAGGTTTGTTGAGACAGCTTGCATATGTTCATAACTTCTTATGAATTCAAGAGGTTTATGTATGTTCAAAACTCCCATTTACTGAGAAAGTCATTGTGTGGTTAAAAAAAAACAGTAAAAAACACTCAATGAAGACTGTGTAAATGTAACGTACTATTAAATGGCAAATGCGGGTTTTGAACCTTGTTTGTGAACTTGTTTCAACCATTTCTGTTCTTGGCCCTTCACGCTTGATGCCAGGGTTGCCACAATTCTGGACTTCCTCTGCAGTTGGCGCTGACTTGGGCGACAATGCGCCTTTCCCAGCTTCTCAGCATCCAATGGCTAGCAATAACAGTCTTCTAGCAGACCGTGCAAGCAAGAGTGGGTCGCATGGGGAACAGAGCCATTCATCACAAGTAATAGGAATCTGGAGAGCAGCACTTGATCAACTCTCCAGTTTTCTGTCGGCTCCCAAATTCTTTATTCGGCACGAAGAGCATAACAATGCAGCACATGTCGATGATGTTGCAGCCTCGCCACATGCAGGGTCGTTGTCCTCGCTGATGGAGTCAGGCTTGATTAAGCTGTCGTCAGTTCCAATGAGCAGAGGACCATGGCAGATCGCGGCAACTATCAACGATCTTCGCTGGCATGCTCCCATCGTTGCGCTCCTTACTATCGCTCTTTGCAGTGGTGTGTTTTGTGAGGCGTCAAGGAGGGGATGGAAGAAAAGGAGGTGTGCACACAGGCTGCAGAATCCTGTGCCCATGTCATCTGAATGGACTCAAACGACATGCCGACAAGCAAACCTAGCAGATTATTTGCACGTGCAGTGCAGAAGTGTGATGCCTTCATATTACAGCAAAGATCGGCATGGCCCCAAGGTTGTCGGAATCCTTTCCGCAGGGAATTAATCAGAGAATTGGGTTTCTAAATCAATTGACAGTCTGACACAGAAGGTTGACCAGTCTCCAGTCAATCTTACCTTTGTGTTCTTTAGTAGGTTGCCACATTGTGTGGTTGTTTTCATTATCAATGTGTTGTATGTGCATTTTCTCTTTGTCGTCCTAGGTGGTACACGGCAGGGCGGCAGAGGGAATAAAGAAGAAAAAGATGTCATCTGAGTCCTTGCGGTTTCTATTCTTAGGGGCATGTCCAGGTCTTTGTAAGGAACGTGTGACAGTCACAATCAGATGGTAGTAGTTAACTTCAGATAGCATAAGCCAAAACCTAGACAAAGGCATCGCTCAGTGAGGCCTGTCCCTTGATCTTTGTGGCCAGGTACTAAGCCTGCTGAAGAGTCAATGGAGCTATGGAAGAGCCCTGCCAGCAGGGTCTTTGAAGCATCATTGCAGAGGACACAGAGAGCGGAAGGCCAATAGGGTCTTGGTTGGGAAGTTTTTTTTTTTTTTTTCTTTCCTTTTTTTAACTAAGCTATATTCTTCACTCATATACCGCACTCTCTACATAACCTCTTATCTAAGTCCAGTTCCGAGTATCGATTGTTGCAGTATATGTACGCTCACAAGCTGGGGTGTCCTAAGAGTTATGGGGTGGGAACTTTGTCAACGTCGCTCTTTGAGTATGCTTTGTGTCATTCCGATGATGCCAAGCGTGTTAGCATTCATTAAGCCAGCCATGTCATTCCAGGAACAGTATGTCTTGATGCCAAGCTAGCGGAAAGCAGTGAAAAGCTGCTATGAAGCAGAGTGTTACTGTGGACGAGGACTTGGAGAAAGGACGAGGTGGACGGCCTTCCCCCCTCTTCTCCACTCTCCAGTTGTATATTGCATGGGACTGGAAACATGGCAGGATGGATGGGCGGTATTTCCTGAATGGAAGGGAGAAGGTGGTTATCCAGCAGGCAAGCAATGCCAAGCATGTTACACAGAGAGAGAGAGAGAGAGAGAGAGAGAGAGAGAGAGAGAGAGAGAGAGAGAGAGAGAGAGAGAGAGAGAGCAAGAGAGAGAGCATGGAGGGTGCTGGAAAAGGTGCAAGAGGATCGGAACACTTTTCCCCCGGCCAACATGGTCAATCACACAGAGAATTGCACTCATCCATTGCTGGGTGCTGCGGACGAAGGGAGAGCTATAGAAAAAAAGACTGCTCAGGGTACAAAGACAGACCCGTGACGCAGCATGCAGGTGCTCAATCTGATAGGTGTAAGGTACTTTATTTCATTTCGAGTAGACCAGCAAGCTGAGAAAAGAAGTGAAAAGGAGCCTTGTGGTCCCCGATAATATGCCTGACTTTCAGCACAGTACTACAGTAGTCACAGAAATGGGGTCAAAATGTGTCTTGTGACATTGTCGGCAGTAGAGCTGCGGCATTCGCGCCAGGAAGAGTTGGAAGGAAGGTTGCAGAATTGCCGGGCCACAGATGAGTCAGCGATATCAACCTCAAGCTGTCAAATTGGAAATGCTGGACTGTGACAAAGTGGTTTCTTCGTCTTCCAGAAAAAAGTATGTGGAGCCCTTCAGGAGCACAGAGGAGTGTTTGACTCCCACAGGAAATAGAACCACAGGAAAAGCAGTGGACAGGGTATCACGCTCTGAATTCCAAAAATGGGGCAAACACCAGGTCCAGAACTTAGCTTAACTTAGCTTAGAAAGTACTTGACCATGTTTTCGGAGAAGAAAGAACCTGTGTGTCTCCATTAGCCTAACAACAGTGACACCTAAGCCTTTCAGTACATAAATCAAAGACTTCAGGAACTTCAGTTACTTCAGTAGTGTTGTACTTTATTATAAAGCTTCTTTCCTCTTGCCTCCCCTCTCCTTCTCTGAAAACTGAAAACGAACTCAGAAAGGTGAACTGTGTGTGTCACTCCATCACTCCCCTTTGCAACCGAAAGGATGGGCAAACTATCTGCCTCCCCCCTTTGTGTCTGCTCACACCCATGATGCGGTCTCTACTCCATGCCTGTTCTCCTGAGTTAATCAGGTTTGGCTATCGAATGGGAAATTGCCTCCGTGTCCTTCAGGAAATCCGTTAAACTTGGAATGATACAGAGAAGGAAGATTAGCATGGCCTCTGCGCAAGGATGACACACATAAATTGAGAAATGGTCCAAGCTAGGAAAAAAAAAAAGAAAAAAAAAAGGAAACGGCCTCTATGTAGCGTCCATGTTTTCTATGTGACACACCGCCCTTCCTTCATTTCTGTGTGACACACCGCTTCTCCCTCATTTCTGTTTGACACACTGTCCGTCCCTCATTTATCTTTGTCACACTGTTCCTTCCCAATTCCTCTCTCCCTCCTTTCTTTCTTTTTTTTTAATTTAAAAAGGGCGACAGCCTTGAGATAGCATCATTGAACTGACTGGCCCCAGGTAATTCAGGATTATTTTATTCTGTCCGTCTGATTGCATCCGGATTCGAACTTGGCTCTGTGTTTCAACAGTTCATTGGTGTACCAACTGAGCTAAGTTGTGTCTTTAATACCAAGAAGCCTGAGTCCGGGAATACCTCTCAACCTGGAAAAGGCTGGGGCCACTACCCAGTTTAGGCTTGTGCTGGAAACTGGGTCCAACATGTCACCCATGGCGCACTGTCGAATTTCCCTGCCGGCTTGTTCAGTGGTCCGTTCCTTACCCACCCACTTCCCTCCTTCCTCTTCTGTACACTGCTTTTATCATCTTGCACCAAAAGTGGCCCTTTTTCCCATCTTGTCCCTCCGATCTTTTTTTTTTTTTTTTATAAACAGAACCTTGCAGTTCTGGCTCCTTTTCCATTCTGGGGAGCATCAGTCCGGTTCCTATTCCACCGGCAAGTCAGAAATGATTACAAAAGGTACTCACACACGCTCCTCCCCTTTATGGTAGGAAGGCCCGAAAGACGGCATTGATTACTTCCCATGGGAAGGATGTACCATCATTCACCCCTGCCTAAGTTAGCCTATTTGACGTAATCTTGGGCTTGTAAGGCCTCTCAGAGTTGTGAACTCTGTAATGTGGTATCTGTCTGTCGGACTATCTGAGCTTTCCCTAGTTCTTCCTCTCAGCTGTAAGGCTGTCAGATCTGTGTGTATTGCTGGTAGAGCTAGGTCTGTCTTCCACTGTCTCTCTAACTATGGTCTTTAGTCCTAATATTCCAAGGGCTGCAGTGTTTTTTTCACTTAGATGAATCGGGTGACTTTCCTCAAACGGCCAATTCCTAAGCCCTTGTCTGTTTTCTGCCTAAGTGAATGGGGGGGGGGGATAATCCCGGGGGGTATATTCTTTGCGGAAGGTTGTTCAGTATAAGGGGAGTTTAGTAGGTTTGGAATAAACAGGCGGGGTTGGTGGTAATTCTTCGGTGGATTGGAAGGATTTTGGGTGGGGGGGAAGCTCGGGGATGCACAGAGTATGAGTTTTGCTACGTAGAGGTTTGGCTTTGGGTGTGAGGGAGGTGACTGGTTGAGTAGTGTTTGGGCTGTTTTTTGTGGAGTTGCAGGGAGGTTAGTAGGTGATGTTAAGTGTTTCCAGGTGTTTTGATGTTATATTGTGACGTTTGCTCTATCTTGTAGACTGAGGGGGTCTGTTTCTGGGTTGTTGAGCTGTGGGCTTATTGTGTCTCTGATCGGTCTTTGTAGGTGCTGGGGTGTCATGGTTAACCAGTCCTTCATTACTAGTTTGTTTCTTTTTATGGTGCCCAAGTTTCCTCCTCCGAGCTTCGAAGCGGTGAATATTTTGAGGATTTCTGTTGCTTTCTCAGGGTGGTTTTCTATCTGTGTTTGGGTTCTCTTCCATAGGGCATGTATTTCGGTTTCTATAGTTTGCTTGATGCTTATAAGTGGGTTTTCTGGGTTAGTGAGGCTATCTTCAAAAGTCTTTTCACACCTTCTTTTCCAGATAATCCACAGGGTTGCCTTTCTTATTTGTGAGAAGAAAAATAATTCAAAGCCCTTGAGGGGAGGGGTTTGTTCTATATTCAGGAGTATGGTGCCAGGGTTTATTTGTACATTTCTGCTAGAGTGTCTGCCCCAGGTTTTCTCAATGTCGAGCCAGAGGGTGTGGGATTTTTCGCATTCAAGAAAACAATGATTTAGAGTTTCGATGGCTTCTAAGTTGCAAACTTTGCACCATGAGGAATGTTCGGCTCTGTCTTCTTTTCTTCTTCTTTGTGCTAGCCAGTTGTTTACTGGGACTGCTCTGAAAGTAATGAGCCATAGTAGACCTGCCAGTTTGACTGGTTTTGCGCTGAAAATTGTGGACCAAGAGGGTTTAAAGGATGATGTTGCGAGGGAACTTTCCTCTTTTTGCCATCTTTTTTGTACTATTGAAGTGGTCGAAATGGGGGTGGAAAATAGCTTATAACCTAGTTTGGCAGTGTACTCCGTTAATTTATATCTTCTTGTTGTCCGTGTGATGCTGTTAGGGCTGTTCCAAGACCATTCTGCGGGGTCGACTTCTAGTTGTTGGATTTCTAGCTCAGGGTTGTAGACTTTGTTCATCTCTCCTTCTAAGACTCTGATTCTCCTAAGGTTGTGGATTTTATAATATCCCTCTACCCTACTTTTGTCATTTAGGAAGCTAAGTGGGTTCCCTGTTTCTTTCAAGGGGAAGATGCTACAGCTAATCCATTCGATGTTATGAATTTTGTTGCTTAAGATTTTCAGGACTTCTTGTGTGTTTGTCTGATTCTTCTGTGCGGCCCGTCTCCATTCCATTGGTATGGATTCGATGATGTGTGAGAGATTGGCTTGTAGATTATGATTTCCCTTGAGACTCGGTCTTAGTTCTTTTTCTCTTTTCCAAATATTGTCTGGCTCATTCCACAAGTGTTGAATTCGCCAGATCCCCTTTTCAAGCCAATTCCCCCATTTGGCATCTGATTTAGTGAGGGAAAAACTTTCTCCTTTTTCGTTTTTGATCCAGGGGTTGCCGAATAAAGGTTGTCTAAGGACTTCGTTTCTTCTTTTGGGGCCTAGTTTGTTTTCTGGGAAAATTTTTCTCCAAATGCGTATTAGTTGTTCCCATAAGGATTTGGACTGTTCGTTGGGTGTGTCTTCTGTTTGGTCTGATTGTTGGTTTTGGGTCTTTTTGTCTCTTGGAAGAGGCCATTTATTATTAAATATCCAGAATAGGCCCAACATGTTAGAGGGGGAGAGTTATATGGGGCTAATTGTCTGATGTGGTTGAGGGTCAGGGGTGCCCATCGAAGGTTGCTTTGTAGGGTGAGTCTTATTATCCATTTGATTTGTAGGRCCTGTATTTGTCTGGCTGGGTCCAGGAGGCCCAAGCCTCCTTTTGCCCTCGTTAGCGTTACTATTTGCCATGCTACTTTGTGGATAAAGTGTTGTTTCTCCGGATTGCCGGTCCACAGATATGCTGCAGATCTTCTTCTTATTTCCTGTTGATAGTCTGTTGTTGGAAACCAAATGGAATTGGCGTACCACATCATGGAGATGATCGAGTTGTTAAGTGCTAGTACCCTCCCTAGGAGTGATGTGTGTGATCCTTGCCATTTGTGCATTTTGTTGATCATTGCAGTTAGTAGCGAAGGTGTTGTTATTGGGTGGCTTCCCTTCATGCTTAGTCTTATTCCCAGGACGCGGATCGGGGTCACAGGGTCTGTCCAGTGGAAGTCTTCTGGGGTGTTTGTCGTGGGTGGGGGGTTTGGTGAGATCCACCAGCCTATCATTTTTGGCCAGTTGACTTTCATTTTGGAAGCTACCTGGAAGGCTTGCATGGCTCTAGTTAATGCCTGGAAACAGGAGTCTGAGGCCCTTATTACTATGGTTAAATCATCAACGAAGAGAAGTGTGGTCGGGAAGTGTAGTAGAATGCCTCTCTCATCGCATATATTTTCTAGTCTTTCTATTGAGTTGTCTTTTCTTAGAAAGGCTGCAATCGCTTCCATGACGAAGAGGAAAATTGGGGCTGCTAAGGGATCACCTTGTCTCACTGATCTCGACATTTTATAGGGGTTCGATAGGAATCCGTTGATTTGAACAATTCCTTGAGCGTCATTGTATAGTACTCTTACCCATTTACGGAAGTTCGGGCCGACACCCATTTTTTCCATGCAAGTTTGTAAGAAGTCCCAGTTGACTTGATCATATGCTTTCTCAAAATCGAAAAATAGGATGGCTGCTGTTGTTTTTTTCTGATTTATTAATTTAGTTGCTTCGGTTAAGCTCATTACATTGTCTTATATGAGTCTGTTTGGGATGAATCATGTCTGATCTAGATGGAAGCATCCTCCGGTGAGGCGGTTGATTCTGGAGGCTAGTAATTTGACTAGTATTTTATAAGCCACGTTCAGCAGCGAAATGGGCCTGTAATTTTTTATGTCTTTCTTGTCTCCTTTTTTGTAGAGGAGAGTTATTACTCCCGTACTCAGGTCTGGACCCAAGGATTCTTTTGTCCATGCTTGGTTGAGAAAATTTAGGAGTAGGGGGCTTAGGACGTGCCAGCTTGCTAGCCAGAATTCCTTAGATAGTCCGTCTCTGCCTGGGGCTTTATTGGGTTTCATGTCATTGAGAGCCTGAAAAAGTTCCTCTAGAGTGATCGGTTTTTGTAGTGTTTCTGCTGTTTCGGTTGAGAGGGAACGATCTAGGTGGGATAAGAATTTATTTCTCGCTCTTGTGATGTCGTGTTTTTTGTCCGTTGGTGTTTTGCTGGTGTAAAGCTCTTTATAGAAGGTGGCTGCAATATTGATTACTTTGATGGTTTCTGAGGTTGGTGCGTCGTTAGTGTCTAGTAGGCTTTTTATTTTTGTATTTCTGGAATTGACTTTGATTTTTTTGAAGAAGTATTTGGACATCTTTTCGTTCATTTCCCAGTCTCTTACCCTGGCTCTCAGTTGGAGACCTTGGAGTTTCAATTTGGTCCATTCTGATAATTCTTGCTTAGCTTTAGAAAATAGTTATGAGAAGAATTCAGAGTTGGTGTTGAGTTGCAGGTTGCATTCTGCCGCACCTATTGCATCTTTGAGCATCTCTTCCCTTTCTTTTCTTTGGGCGGCCATTTTTCTGGATGTTATTACTACCTGCCGACTGATTTCTTGGATAATTTTTGGGAAACTTGAGAAGATGTCTTCACCTCTCCATTTTTTAGATGATTGGGTTAGAATACTAGATAGTTTTGTTTGAAATCGTTCGCTGGTGAGGAGAGAGTTGTTGAAACGTTAGAAGCTTTTGCCCAAGTACCCTGTTTTAGAGAATATGAATGAGAGAGAAATAGCCTTGTGATCCAGTCCATTGTGATATGGGGAAGGTTCAATTTTGTAGTTTTGGGTGACCCCTATTAAGGAATCTGATACGAGGAAGAAGTATATTCTTGAGAAAGATGTTTTGTTATTGGATGTCTTTCTTATGCAAGAGAATTGTTTCTTTTCTGGGTGGAGCAGTCGGAATGGGTCTACCAAGTTTTTTCTTGTGATGAATTCAGTTAGTTGTAGACTGTTTGACTGTTGGGAGGGGTCACTAGCGTTGGAAATCCTATCTATAGTAATGTCTTGTACTGAGTTTCAGTCTCCCATAAGGATTGTATGTGTGTGACTTGGGGTTATACATTCTATTGCTTGGAGGAAAGGCGTTTTTTCCTGAGGGATGTTGGGTCCATAAATACCTACGATTGCTAGGTGTTCGTGTTTATAAGTTATGTCTAGTCTTATCCATCTTCTTGATGTGGGGTCGTGCCAATTATTAAGAACCTGCAAATGGTTGTTTGCAGTTGACTTGTGGTGGAGGAGGATGACTATTCCAGCGGAGCCGTTGTCTGTGGCATTTGTCCAAAAGGCTGCCTTTACATGGCATAATTTCTTTTCTAGGAGTCCTTTGATTTTTTTATTTTCTGTGTTATTAGAGATGTGTGTTTCCTGTAGGCATGTAATGTCTGGGGGGTTAGGACCGAACCAGCCTATGGATTCTGTTAGATTTCTCTATTGTCCCTCCGATCTTAGCATGCATGCGCCCCCCCTTCCTTAGGCAAGCAGCCCAAGTGATGTTGAACTGCAGGCAAGAAAAATTTATCATCAACTCTGTCTCCCATGAGCAGTTTGCCTTCTCATGGCTGCTTGATCTTATACAGGTATCTCCTTGCCAGACTCAAATAGAGGTGTCCACTATGTGTCTCCAATCAAATACAAGTATCTCCCTCTATCTGTCTCCGGTCAATGGTTTGTTTGCAAGACTGCTTTATCGCACATAGGTATCGCCTTGTTGCAGTCAAATACAGGTAGAAAGGTAGGCAGGTGCCTTCTGAGTCCTGACTGGCAGTTGTGTCATACTGATACCATACGGGCCTCAGTTAGGGCCCGGTTCCGTAGTTAGGCTAGTTTAGTCCTAAGGACCAAGAGTCACGACGGTTCAGACCATAGGTCGGCCCAGAGGCCGACGAGGCCAACGGCCACAAGGGCCAGGCCGATACCGGTCCAACACTAGGACCTACCGGCGGCGCAGTTTCAAGGCAGCCACATTTAGGCGCCAATTTCAGATTCGTGTATGAGAGTTACCCTCTCCTCCTCCCTTCGTCTTTCCTCCCCTCCATTCATCCGTGTATGAGAGTTACCCCCGACCTTCCCTTCTAAGTCCAAGGCCAGGGCTTCACACCACCGATGCATGTTTGTGAGTGTTTTGTTGCAGTCTGAGTCAGGTCCGAGTCAATCCATGTATCTCAAGTCTTCCGCTGTATTTGTATGTACTATGTATTATCTGGTCGGTTCTGGGAATCTGCGCCATACTTATGACTGTATTTCACGAGTATGCAACAGTTTGGTATCGGAGCAGACCAGCATAGGAT